AGAAGAAAGGGTACAACGTCAATTTGGCGGCGTGTGAAGAAACGAAGACGTTATAAAATACATCGATGCTGAACTTTCTAAGCTAAGTATTCAGCGAGCAACGCTTCAAGTTCAGAAAAAAGAAAAGTTGCGGGCGCAGTATTGTACAAGGCGATTCAAACGCACAATGGACAAAGCGGAGCTCAGAGAAGGAACTTTCCAAATTCTATGGTTCGACTTGATGGACGGTGTGCTGGGTCACCGTCCCTCTGTTAGTGGCGACTCGCGAGACAATCTGGACACTATTGCAGGCTGCAGCCACGGCCGGTGAGTTAATATACATGCTATCTTCCTAACTTAAAAAATAAATAAATTCATAATACCCGCTGAAATGGGTTGGGTTGTATGACGTTTGATCCAGAAAGGCGTGTTAGGGGCGGGGTTTAGGGCAGCGCTGCGGGGCTACTGGCCCAGCAGTGGAAACGCAAGCCCGGTGCTTGAGGCCCGAGGCCACTGGCTCGGCTCGGCTCGCTGTTAGCCCTGGCCCGGCCCTGGCCCAGCAGTGGAAACGCGGCTAATAGTGAGTGAAAAACTGTCGGTTTTGGATAAAGTAGATTTAGTGCCAATGAGGAGAACCTCAGTTTTATTACTGTTTAATTTGAGAACGTTTTTGGAAAACCAGGTTTTTATTTCCGTGATACAGTCAGTGAGGGAGGTGGGCGGGAGAATGAACGAAGGTTTTGTCGAGAGGTAGAGCTGGGTGTCATCAGCATAACAGTGGAATTGAATGTTAAATTTGCGGAATATATTGCCCAGGGGAAGGAGATAAATGATGAATAGTAGGGGCCCCAGGACAGAGCCCTGGGGCACACCTGAAGTGACAATCGAGGGACTAGATTTGAAAGACTTAAATTGAACAAACTGAGTGCGGCCAGAGAGGTAAGATGTGAACGGAGTGTGGGTGATGCCGATGAAAGATTATCTGTTGAGAAGGACGGTGTGACAGATGGTATCAAAGGCTGCACTTAAGTCGAGGAGGATGAGGATGGTAAGGAGTCCAGAATCAGCTGCCATGAGGGGGTCGTTGGTGATTTTGAGGAGTGCTGTTTCAGTGTTATGAAGTGGACGGAAACCAGACTGGAACTGTTCATACACGTTATTGTGGGATAGATGAAAATTGAGTTGAGAGGCAACTGTTTTTTCAAGGATTTTGGAAATGAATGGTAAATTGGATATAGGGCGAAAGTTATGGAAGTCGGAGGGAATTTTTTTTTTTAATTGGGGTAATAGCAGCAGTTTTGAATGATGTAGGTACAGTTCCAGTGGTAAGAGAGGAGTGGATGATGGGCAGAAATGAGGGGAGCCAGGGAGGGAAGGCAAGCTTTAACAAGGTGTGTGGGAATGGGGTCAAGTTGACAAGTGGAAGCCTTGGATTTCCTGATGAGTTCTGTGATTTCTGAAATAGCGGGGAGCTGGAAGGAAGAGAATGAATGGGTGAATGGGTGAAAGTCAGCTGAGATGCTGGGGTGAGGGATAGATCCAAGGTGCTGGTGGATGTTTTTGATTTTTTCAGTGAAAAATGACATAATGGAGTTGCAGAAGGAGGTTGTATACAAATGAGGGGGGAGAAAGTCCTGGGGTTGGGTGATGTTGTTAAGTAAGGAAAAAAGTGACTTGGAGTTTCCTTTATTGGCAATGATCAAACTGGAGTAGTAGTGGGTTTTGGTGCTAGCAACGGAGTCCTTGTAAAGTAAGATGTGGTTATTGTACATTTCTTTGTGAATAGTGAGACCAGTTTTTCTAAAAAGACGTTCAAGTTGCCGCCCTTTGGCTTTCATGAGACGAAGATCGTGGGTGAACTAAGGGGCAGAAAAAGAAACAAATCTGTTTTTTAACGAAGCAAGGGAGTTAAGAATATTATGGAGTCCAGTGTTGTAGTGAGAGACCAGATCATCGGGGGTGGATAGATTGTGAGTGTCAGGTAGGCAGAAGGAATGAATACTTGAAGTGAGTGACAGGATTGATATTCTTTATATTCCGAAATGTAATAAGGCGTGGTATTTTAGAAATGGAGAGAGTGAGTTTCACAGTAAATGATAGGAGAAAATGGTCAGTTATAGGGAGTTCAGCAGCTGTAATGTCAGAGGGGGTGACACCAGAACAGCAGAATAAGTCCAGAGTATGTCCTTTGGAGTGTGTGGGAAAAGTGATATATTGCTGGCATCCAAAACTCTCTAGGCAGGAGGTGAAGTCTTTAGTAAGAGGCAGATTGATATTGTCCATGTGGATATTAAAATCACCCAGTAGTATTATGTTTGATGAGAGAGAGGATAAGTGAGTGAGAAAAGCAGCAAAATCATTTAAAAATTCACTATTCAGTTTTGGGGGGCGATATACAGTTGCAATGATGGTTGGAATGGGACCAGACAGTTTGCAGACAGCAGATTCAAACGAGCTAGAGACAGGCACGGATATCGTTGAGACACTCCACTTCTCGCGATAGATTATCGTGAGACCTCCTCCCCGGCCGGAGTCACGAGGTTGACAGATGTAAACAAACCCACTAGGAGCGGATTCATTCAGCTGAGAGAAGTCGTTGGGCTGTTGCCATGTCTCGGTTAAACAAAGAAAGTCTAGCTTACGATCGTTGATGAGGTCCTGGATGAGATGTCCCTTGTCTGTCAGTGAGCGGATGTTGAGCGGAGCGAAGTTAAGTGCAGTGTTGTCACAGCTGGTGGTGGTGCTAGCCGACCGAGCTAGGCGGGCTAACACACTGTGGTCGACAGCCCGGTTGGTGGAGCGTGGAGGGCGACGTGAGCTGGACCAGACGGACTTTATTACTGTTGAGCTGTTGTGATGGAAATTCCGGCGGGACCCTCGGTGGATCTATCTCGGACGAGGCTGGAAGGCGATGTCCGGATGAAGGTGAAAAGCCTCCGGCACACGTCCAGGCAGGTGATAGCGCAGCCGGAGCAGGTCAATGGCCGAGTATTGAAGCAAACCCGTCACTAGCAGGTGAGCAGGCAGTAGAAAGAGCCAGGCACAGACAAACAAAATATATGTTCTACCGGCCCACACTGTAGAGGGAGATTTAAGCAGCGTCCACGGCCAGTGAAAACGCCAGATGAGGCTCAAACCAGAACAAAACAGGTGAGCTAACGGCGAGCAGCGGCAGCAAGTTGCGCCAGCGTTCACTCGCGGTGAGAGGAATGGATACGGGGATATATATATATTTTTTTTGTGTGTGTCAAAACGCCCCACAGATCAGAGGGGCAGAGTGAGAAAAGCTCATTATTATTTAAAGGCATACACTGAAACGGCATGGTGAAAACAGAGCTGTTTTGACCAGGTAAAATGAGTGTTTTCTTACAAAACTAATGAGAATTTTTAATTAAAGTATATTACGAACTTTTCATTTAGACCCTAAAGAAATCAAATCAACTTGTATGAAAATGGCATTATATGACCCCTTTAAGAACAGTGGGCAGTTTAACTACTCATGACAAACAAGTGACACAAAACAAGTGACACACAACAAACAAACAAACAAAAAACAGTTGTTGATCACCCAGGTAACGACACAGAATTAAAGGTTGTATCAGCGATTTCAGGCCCAAACATAAATGATCACATTCATCTAATCTTTCCTAACGATCCGCTAGCTGCCCGCCCCATAAGCAGGCCGTCAAAAAAACGCGTCTCTGTAGGCAGCCTAGGCTCTGAGATCTGCACACAAAAACAATTGTTTCACCAACCACTCAAAACCAAAATAAATAGTGTTCCAACCAATCACCGACATGGGTTCGTTGATAGACGCTGACTTCTTCTTCAGCTCCGCCTTCGCGTGCAGCCGTACACGAGTGCAAAACCACACAACACCCGCCCCTCATGTCGGTGATTGGTTGGAACACTATTTATTTTGGTTTGAGTGGTTGGTGAAACCAACTGTTTAAAAAAAAGCAACTGGGGCGTGGGTCCACTTCCTTCTTTATACCCGTTCTGCGGGGAGGAGCGTGTAATCACGCACGCCAATGTTGAGTTGGCTTGATTAAATAGTAATACGAAGAAGACAGGCGTCGCCGTCGACTAAGTCCTCCGTTCCCTGTGGGTCGCATACGCATACAATGTTAAACCCCTTGATTTAATGAAAGCTAAATTAAATCTATTCGTTATACCTGAATAAATCACAAGTTTTATTCATTTTTAATTCTCACATTTTCACAATGTGCAGAGAGTGATTCAATCCAATAAAGTCTTCAATATGTTCTCAATGCATCACCTCTAAACAGCGAGACTAAAAACAAGTTGTTTGTGATATGAATGATATTTGATAGACTATTGTTGCCATTGTTTCACAAATGCCTCATATGTTCAATGAAAAATGAAAGTTTTCTGAACTATTATTCTTGTTCCATCTGTATGAGATGACCATGCACTGCTTGAGCGATGACACTGACACGAGTATTTTCACATTGTTGCTTTACTGTTCAGTTCATCTTGTATACAGTAACACTCAGTGTTTACTGCGGATGTGCAACACAACAGAGGATCAATACGGGTGTCGGAAGAACAAAACATGCGACACTTACAATGCAGTTCACAACCATTTAAACCGGTTCCCCTTGTCAAACAATCAAACTTCAATACTTATTTTAGGCCATGTCCACACTAATACGTTTTTTCTAATTATATTTTTCTCTCCGGTTTGGCCTTCCGTCCACACTGAGACGGTGTTAAGTCAATGAAAACGTAGCTTTTGGAATACGCTCTCCAAAGCAGATAAATTTGAAAACGCCGTTTTCGCGTTGTAGTGTGGACTGTGAAGCCGGAGGTATTTGAAAACGATGACGTAAGTTTAGTCATGTGATCCATGTTGTACCAATAGATATTCATGTTTACCGGTATAGTGCCTGTTATGTGCTATTCACTTTTACACTGTTGCTAAAATGTTACTTTGCGCACACTTCATATCACAGTACTGCAAAGATGACAGAAAATGAACTCACAGCTGTCCTGCGGCAATACAGGAGAGCAGTTGCGTTTTAGACCAAACATATGGTGACTGAGTGTGACCTGGACGCATCAGTGATGGGGAGATATTTTGCTAAATAAAATGATCCTGTTAGAAGAATTGCGCGATAACTTTATTTTTCCATCTGTATCATCTCGGTGAGCTTTTGTGAGGTTTCACGCATGCGCAGTAAAGGTGAATTTAGAAGTTTCTCATCCACACTGAAACGTCAGAAAACGCCTGAAAACGCCAGTGTGGACAGAGAGCGTTTTTAAACGAAAACACCGTTTTCAAATGTATCCAGATTAATGTGGACGTAGCCATAGATTGAATTACTGTATTAAATGTAATTCCATCTTTTGCTTATTTACAAGTTATGGAAGTGAACTTTGCTCACTAAGACACCTTCGGGCAATGCTTTTTCTTATGTTTCTGTAGAGCAGATAAATGACTGAAACTCTTCCCACATGAAGAGCACTGGTGCGGTTTCTCTCCAGTATGAATACTCTCGTGAACTTTCAGGTTTCCTAAATGAGAGAAACTCTTTCCACAGTGTGAACACTTGTACGGTTTCTCTCCAGTATGAACTCTCTGGTGTGATTTTAAGTGGCTGGATGTAGTGACGCTCTTTCCACAGTGAGAGCACACATAAGGTTTTACACCAGTATGAATACGCTCATGCTCTTTTAAAGATCCAAGATGTGAAAAACTCTTTCCACAGTGAGAGCACACATAAGGTTTTACACCAGTATGAATACGCTCATGCTCTTTTAAAGATCCAAGATGTGAAAAACTCTTTCCACAGTGAGAGCACACATAAGGTTTTACACCAGTATGAATACGTTCATGCCCTTTTAAAGATCCAAGATGTGAAAAACTCTTTCCACATAAAGAACAAAAGTGAGGCTTCACACCAGTATGAACTTTAAGGTGTTCTCTTAAGCCTGATTCATAAACATATGTTTTATCACACTGATCACAGCTGAATGATTTCAATCCAGAGTGACGGCGCAGATGCTCTTTGAGAACGCTTTTGGATGAGTAACTCTTTCCACACTGAGTGCATGTAAAAGGCTTTTCTCCAGTGTGAATCTTCATGTGTGTGTTCAGGGTTGATTTACATACAAAACTCTTTCCACACTCAGAACAGGTTAAAGATCCTTTGACTCCAGATTTTCCAGCTTGTTTCTGTGTGCAATTCTCTTCAGTCTTTGAAACGACTGCATTTCCATCTTCATTTGTGAAATAATGAGGTTTTTGAAACTGATGCAGTTTGTCTTCATTCACTTCCATCAGGTCTAAAATAAACAAATTAAATTCACATAATTTAATAAAAGGATACTTGAGAAACAAAAACAAATCCAGTTTACTACTGAGTCTACTAGTATCTAGATTTAGATGTTATTGTTATATGTGAGTTTTCATCTTAATGTTCCTCATCAGTCATTAAAGAGAATGAAGGAAAACACCAACCTATTTGTTCCTCTGTATCTTCATCTTTTATTCTGCAGGGTTCTTCCTTAATCTCCATCTTTACAATAGTATGTCCGTAGTTTCTCCTGGAGTAATTCCTCCTGCTTGCTTCTTCTTCTCCTGTGGGAAGATGGGAATATTCCCCAGCATTTAAACTCTCATGAACGGCTGTGGGAGCTTCACTGACTGAAGGAGTGAATTGTGGTCGTTGTTGCACATTTAGCAGATGATCGTCACACTTACAATCACTCGAGATTATTCAGCTTTAAAGGGCATATTGCAGGTTAGAGGACAATGTATAGAAAAACAATGTAGTAATTAGATTTTCTTTAAAATATACTTATAAATACATTGGCTTCTGGAGTCGTTTTTGTGAGAGAATTTTACTTCCACATCTGAAAATGGGCGTGACGTAACGGGCGGGAGAGCGGTTGATTCAAACCATTCAAACAACAGGAAAACAATGGATCGCAATGACATTTCGGACTTACTCGTATGACAGACCACGGACGACAGCCTTACAGTTATGAGCCAGCTATGCTGCTGAGAGAGCAGGGACAGGCCAGGATTAATGTTAGACAGAACAACGGTCAGAGGAGACACACATTATTGCAAAAGTACTATTATAAAAAAAACTTGCGTGGAGTGAGTGTGCGCAGCCGCAGTTTATTGCATCACTTAATCACGCGTATTTTTGATTAGCCTAGCTGTCAGATACTGAGTAAACGTTAAAAGAACAGGCCTATTCAATCTTCCCTGGATGTTTTTTTAACGAAGAAATTAAATAATAGCAATCAGGAGAATGGAAGCAGCAATAAAAAAATGAGGACTGTAGTGCTGTCGGCAAAACATTATACCACTGCAATAAAAACTGCACTGTAACAAAAAGGTAAGGCATATGTGTTTTTATATTTAATGCTGTTCACTGTGAGTTTTAATTAATAGTGTAATAGAGTTAATAGTGCATCGTTCATTCTGTTTGGTAAAATGTGAGGTGTATATCGTTCGATAATGTCGTTGTTCTACATGCACAGAGGGGAATGCAGGCCTATTTAAAACGCCGCCACGGCAGGTGTCGTGGTGAGAGACCACCGCTAACTTATAGATATAGCCTATACACGTTCGCTAACGACATACATTGTGCTCACAATATTGTACAGATTATTACCATCGTATATCAGTTAAAGCTCCAGTCGGCAAGTCTGGCAGATTGAGTGGATTTAGGAAATTTTTGAATGTTTACAACTCTCATGCCCCTCCCCCACTATCAACGGATACCCTCCCACCGAGTTCATGCTCGTCAGTGCGTGTGCACCAGATTTTCAGTGAACGCCAGGGCTCTCAAGTGTCACGCATTGAGCGTGACAGTCACTAATTTCGGTCTTTTGTCACGCTCTCCCGCCACACATTGTATTTCTCACGCTGAAAAACTATTTGTAATATATTTAATATGCCGCAGCGCCCAAAACTCTGGCCGCGCCGCTCTCACTGTGGAACCGGCATGAATCAAGCGCGTTTCCTCTGGTGTTGTTCGTCGAGCTACACAATAGCCAATCAGAAAATAGCACTATTGTATCTGGGTAAGATTTAACGCAACAACCAATGACAAAAATGTATCCAACCCCCCGTCGGCTGGGTGTCACTCTTACCTGTCTTCAAAACTTGAGAGCCCTGGAACGTGTCCGTCTCATCAGCATCCATCAACACCATGGAGTATTTGGAGGTATGCTGTCCTGGCTAATCTACCGATAGATTGCAATTGCTAACGTCATTTATACTCTAAATGAGCTTACTTGATTTTCCGCCATCACTCTTCGTTACTGCGTGAACTTCCGCGAACTTCAGGCGTGTGCATGTGATTGTAACGTGCGCGAGGGGTGGCGTGTGCCCGATCTGTGATTGACAGTCAGATCTCACACCCCCCTGCGCTGATTAGACATGATGAACCGGGAGCTGTGGATTTTTGCAAAACAAATAACAAGCTCCAGGTGGAGTTAGAAGCTCGGGTTTTTTTCTAAAACCACTTTATTTATGTTGTTCTGTCAGATTATAGTGTCGATTTCACTGAATATGATCAAAAAAATGTTGCCGACGGCAGCTTTAATAGCAAAGCTATTATTGGTCATCTAGGAGTATTGGAATTTACCAATAACAGAATAGACTATAAGCTTTGATCAGGCGCGTATGTCATGCTCATTAATATCCATCCAGACTAACGTTACATGTAGGGATGGGACGGTATGAAAATTTCATATCACGAGTGACCAAAGTTATCACGATTATCAATATTATCACGGTTTTGTTAAAATGAGATGGAAATGTTCAAAAAGAACTGATGCTCACCCTGAAAACATTTGAAAATCAACAAACAAAAAAATACAATTAGCAAGCTAGCAGCTATGCACTTTTTTAAGCATAAACATTATATTAACATTAACATGGAGCCCTGAGAGTGAGAGGTATAAGTTTTCCTAGTGCAGATTTTAATGAACCCGTCATTAAACCCTATCATTAATAATGATAATAACACTTATGGATGTGTGCAAGTTATTATGACTGAATATTATTATTATTAATAAATAATAAATCACTTTCTCTCTCTCTCTCTCTCACACTCACACGCGCGCACGCACGCACACACACTTTAAATGAACAAAATATGTTGGTTGGGTCAGGGTGACTAAACTACTGGAATACTTATAATGACTGTTGTAAATAGCAACACACTACACAGCGCACATCCATGTCTCGGATCACCGTGGACGCAATCTCTGGTTTCATTCAAATGTGTATGTCTTGCGTCTCAGTTTTGACTGTTTTGAAAATTAAATCAGAGTAATTTAGTATTAATACTACTATAATATTGTTGTAGTGATCACATTTACTTTACGATTGATTTGGACACTGTAACTTGTATAATGGATTTATAAACCGGCAAGATTTAAAAACATTAAGTTAATCACAATTCAATATTTCATGTCCCTTAAATTATTTCTGTGGTAAAAAATAAAAAAATAAAACTGTAATAAGTTTACTATGAATGAATACAATACATTATCCCTTAAATGTCACCCTTAATAGTTTGAATATGTTCGTTCGTCTTGGCTCAAATCCACTTGCTGTAAAACTTTTCTCTTCGCGGAAGCTTTGCAATAATTACAAGTGAGATAATGAAATAATTCATCTCCAATAATTTTTTTGTCTAATTATTTGCCCAAGTTAGTTGTGGTATTAAGGTAAAAATTAACTCAGTGGGTGGTTGTCACGTAACGTTAGATGACTTAGCAGATTTGACGTGTTTCCCCCTTTTGCAGCGACTTTCCTCTTGCAAGATTTGCAGACAGGATGCCCATCCTCGATTAAATTTCCCCTTTGGGACTCTTGTAATAGCCAAAATACGACCATACCTCCGATTTTGTCCTCTTGGATGGCTGAAAAATCTCCCGTGCGCTGTCACTGACTTCCGCCATGTCTTCTCGCGCAAAAAAACAACATTGCATCTGCGCGCCTGCTGAGTGCTCGCGCCTGCGTCAGACTGATTCTGGCTGGACAGGATTTACCGCGAGTTTTCAAAATCACGATAATCAAACACGGTTTTTATGATAATTAAATTTTAAACGATAATACTAACCGCCAGGACATTTTATCGTGGTTTATCGTGAAACCGGTAATCGTCCCATCCCTAGTTACATGAAATAACTTAGCGTTTTCTCATCGAGAGACAGATAGATATGTTTATTCCTGATATACACGTTTTTGTTCCTCCGATCTGGTGTACGCTACACGCGACCGCGTTTTTCGAAGCCGATGCAGAAGAGAAATCCTGTCTCGCAGCTGCACAAACCGCACACAGGCACGAAAGATATACAGCACCGTCCCTTTTCTTGTTAGGAAACCTGTGGACTCCATGTCCTGACAGGCCGGAGTTTTTGCAACCTCCACAAACACAATAATTTACCATGACGATGATAAATTAAAATACAAAAACTACCGAAAACACTGATTCACGACCGCTCTCACTGACTTTTTTTTTTTCGATGCCACAAGAACAAGAGGTTTTACATATTCACAATATCACATTAACATTAGCTGCCAGGAAATAAAAAATACAAAAAAGTTTTACATAAAATCCAGTGCTTTCAAAGCATTACATGTTTTCATTGCTTTTTTGTTTTTAGTTTGTTCCAAGAGATGTACATATGTGAAGTCATTTATAAAATGTGAAAAAAAGCCCAATTATTTTTATGCATATGGTATTTTCCTAATAAAACAAATAACTGTATAATATGTTGTTCTTTACATTCCAAATTGTCATTCTGAGTATAAAAAAGCAAATTTACCCGCTCGTACATACAAACCTATCTGCGCTGCTGATGCTCCCTCCCTCTGGTGACGTAAAATGACGCGATGTTGAAAAAAAAACGTTTTTTACGAGCAGTCAAAGAAATGCTCACTTTATCTACTAAATTTGTGCCCTTATGCCGTTTTAAAACATTTTAAATCCTGCATTACCTTTTCATTTGGTATTTTCATACAAGGTTATATATTAATTTAGATTTTTTTTTTTTTTACCTGCAATATGCTCTTTAAGTGTTTTGCTCTAATAGCCATTTAGAAACAATTTTATAATTTGAGGTTTTACTGTAAGGATTACGCTGCTATTTTGAACCAATTATTGGATCAAAAATGAGTTGAAGGCAAACTTTTGTGTCACAAAAAAAATTTGCATACATTTTTAGCAGCACAGTTAGAATAAAAAAAAAAAAAAATGTTGTGCTACAATTTGTGTTTACACCAGGTTTAATTTATTAATTACAAAACACAACTCAAAATCTTTACACTTTGTCAGTTAACTAGTCAGTGATGCGCTTATGGTTTGTTATATTTAACGTTACAACATTGACGAAAATGTACCATATAGTTAAAGTGTAGTAACTAATCATTGGCTTTTGGCAGATTGATTACTGTTTATATAACCAGTTTTTACAACGGTTAAACTATGATAATGGGTTTAACTATAGTAACCATGTTTTTTTTTTGGATTAATTTACTTAAACCCATGGTTCATTTTCGTAAGGATTCACTTCTAGTCAAACATAATGAAAGTGCCTCAATTTCGGATTCAAGATCTGATTCGGATTAATTCGGCAAAAAAAATCCAGCTGGTTAGATTCACTAAAATGAACCAAATCTTTAATAGTTATGTAGATTTATCCTATTAAATG